TTTCAAGCTCTCCAAGAGGTGCTTGAGCCTCCCATTCTTCGAGTGAAATAACGGGTTTAGGGTGAGGTGAGGGTACTGTCACCGGTGTTCCCGCTCTACGTGGAGCATTTAAATTAACAGTCGAACGGGATGCCATTGAATGACACCACTGTGAACAGGAGACACTTCAGCTTCAGAGATGAGAACAAGCGCCAGGTTCCGTGGCCAAGTGTAACTTACATGCGCATGCGCGATACGTGCTTTCCTCTCAACCACCACGAAGCCCTACCATGACTTGCATCCCTTCGCGTACTCGTTGAGAATTCCAGTATATCTCCTTTACCTTTCCGTGGTTTATCAGTCGCATGAAGATTGTTCGTGATGACGAAGTTTGAAGAGTTATTTAATGCGAGTACCTTAGAAGTCCTTGTGCCTGAAGCATCGTTCGTGCTACCAACAAAAGGGCCGGACGACTGCCTGGAGCAGCTTAGGAACTCGAAGGAGCGGAAAACGGCTTTCTTTGGTGCGTGGCCATTACTTTGGACAGATGATGTTCTTCATGCACTCTGCAGACGAGAAACTCCAGTTTCTACTGCTGTTGAGATTAGACCACCCGAATTCAGACGCCTGTGCAACAGATCCAGAACGACCTCCCGGAGAACTGCTTTCGTTTCTGTCCCGACTACAAGTATCATATGAGGCTACATACATTCCTGCAGCGCCTGCCGCTGCATCCCCAGGTACCCCAACAGCACTGCGATTGTCCGCGCCTCCTCGGACACTGTCTTTGAATAAGCTGAAGGCCAAACCACCCAATGCTCTTCATCCATCCATATTCCCGCCGAATACGCCTAACCCTACCCCATTAACAGCTGATAAAGATCGTAAGTATGTTCAGGCAGAAGGTACCCTTCTATCAGCAGGCATATGGGGAGAAGACTCGTCGGAAGAGTCCCCTGAGACGTTTGCTCTGCTGTGGTCGTCGAAAGCGCAAGTATGGACCCGCGGCAGTGTACAAGCTCGTGGTGACAGTCTGTAGGTCATGCTTTGTAGCTCCCTTATGTCTAGATTGACTTACTGTCTAGAACGCAAGCGTTCCTCCGTATGAATATATCGGATCCATTATTGTGTCTCACCGTATCTACCACGTTGAGAGAGAACCCACTTCCCATGACCAAAGCGAAGCAGCCCTTAGCCGACTTGATAGCAGCGGCTGGGGATATATCGTCGGGAGATACAGCCACATCCACAGCAACAGGCGCAGGAGCCAATGACGAAGACAATGATTCTATTGACCTAACCGGTCTGGAGGAGGTCAATCTGTTGGACGGTCTCACTACTGGTATGTTCATTCCTCTTCTCATCAAACCATTGCGTACTATTTTGACTGTACTGCTCAGGTCCAACCTTCCCGCGGGAAGGGCCTGGCCGTCTTTACCTTCCTTCAACCCGCTTAGGTACCAAAGTCCGCAAACAGGCCTTCTCCCTCCCCTCTAACTCTCCCCAATCCCCAACCTTAATATCGTCTCCTAAGCCATCACAACCGCTGCCAACACTGCGGAAGTCTTTCCGCAAGACACTTCAGACTGTATCCGGCTTCCGTGTGCGCATGCGAAGCGTCTTCGTTCCATACGTCCTACTCCCAGAGGTAACTTCCAGCGAGCTAGACGACGACGAGCGCGAGAGAAGAGAAGCCGGAACGGAGGAGCGCACAGTCGTACTGTGCGTGGAAGTGCAGAACTCTGGTGAATCAGGCATGGGCTTTGCCGTCGAGGCGGTAGACGTTTCCATCAGCGGCGAGGATGCTCGAGCGCGGTTCATCGGCTGGGGAGACAGTCAGTTCCCGTTGCTCGTTGGATCGATGGAGCAGTTTAATCTCTTATATGCAGTGTCATTCTGGCAGGTGGAGGACGGCGGCGAGGGAGATCTCCAGAGGGCTGTGTCGATCAATATACATGGACGACCGTTCGAAGCTTCTGGCAAGCTCTCGTCCGACTTGTCTCCCCAAAAATTGGTCTATCCTGCGCAAACTTTCGCTTCAAGATGGAATTGTGTGGTCGACTTGTCACCAAATCGCTTCCGGGACTCGCTCGATCTCGCGAATATTGACATGTCAACCTTTACTCAGCAAGACGTGTTACCAGCCCCGGCTTCGCCATTCCCGCAGGTCTCGACGCCACGTACAAGATCTATGCCCCTTCTAACTGCACAGGAAAAGACTGCGACGATGCAGCAACAGTCCCAACTACAATCCATTGCCGGTAGCAAGCGCCATACGCTAGCAGCGATCACCCCAGGGTTGCGTAGTGCGACTAGTCTAGGTCCACATGGCAAGTCGAAGTTGACTCCAATGAACTACAGGTCTTCAACCTCCATGCTCAACCCCGGAAACCAACGAGACTCGCTGCAGCCTCGATCAGCATTTCTACCACCCTCGCTAGCCCTTCAACAATCCGCACCGCGCACACCCACGACGTTCTCTCCTCGCATCAACAGTCCGCCACTACCCCCACCTCCTATGAGTCCGGACTCGTCTGAGAGCGGAGGTGGGCAATTCGCCGGTGCACCCATTGTCCCTCCGACGCCAGCCTACCCCGCGTATCCTAATTCACCTCTACCGCCCACACCCTACTCTCAAGCTCCAATTGGTAGTCAAGGGGGAGACATAGGGCCAAGTGTCGAGATTGGGCGACAGCGCGGGGTCGGTTTACCAGGACAACTGCCACCGCAGACGCCTGGTCCGCGACTTATGGGTGCTGGATACGCAGACAGGGGGGTAGGCATGGGCCTTATGCAGTTGCAGAGTCTGCAGTTTGAGATGAGTTATCCGGATAGAAGTAGACGGAGGAGGAGAGAGTTCGACCGGCAGAGTAGGGATTATTTCCCGCCTGCGGAGAATGAAAAGGCGAAGGTTGCTATTGGTCCGGGTATCATGCCACTGGAGAATAGGGTGAGGGTAGGGTGAGTGTCTCGATTGGGCACTTGGAACAGACTCTAACTCGACGAAGGCCTTTGCGACCGACGGCCTGTCAATCAGTGCGGATGGAATTCCTTGCTCTTGCGCCTGGAGTCCACACCATTGATACCTTAGTCCTAACCGACATCGAATCTGGCAAATCGATGAACTTGAGGTGCGTTCCATCCTACATCATGTTGTAAATGCCGTTGACGAAATCGGGTATTGATTTCATAGATCGGTAATGGACATTGTAGTCCATGATCCTAGCGATGTATAGCCTGCTTCTCGTCTATAGCAGCCGCCCTGGCAGACTAAGTCAAGATCTGTGTTGTATTGCTGCCTGCTCCACGAACGCCTTACGACACGGTAAATAGAGCTGACTTAGGTGGTAGTACTAGCATTCCCCGGAGTTTTCGTTGATTAGCGTCCTTGGTCCCTAGCCTGGAATCGAGGGTGACCCAGGAAAATCGAAAGTTTGGCTCGAGGATACAAGACGTCGTTTTGCAGTGATAATAGAATTTCCAGACTGGTGTACGTGATACAGGAGGGTGTCGTTGGCTAAGAAAGAAGGGCTGACTAGAGGTAGATATCTATGATACAATTCGCACAGAGAAGTTTAGTAAATGAACGGGACAGTGATTGAGCGAATGACAAGTCCGGGTGCGCTTCCCTGTGTACGTAGGGTCCTTGGTGCATTACGTTGTGAATGGTGGAAGCGACGAGAGAAGGGGAGCCGAGATGAGAATGAGACGAAACAAAGAAACATCCAAGGAGCATGCGTCAAAAGCGCGGGTCGTGAGGGAACGTGACTTGTCAGTTAGAACTTGACACAAGGAGTCCGAATAGATAGATCGACCGCGAAGCCATTTACAGCCGGCGGTTAGTCTTGGAGCGAGCGAGCGGTGGCGCTGACTTGTCTAATCGCCCCAGCTCCGAGACAGTGCGCTGGTAATCTGGATTTTGAAGCCTCTCTGGATCGAGCTAGTCTGTTTCCGCTGCGGCTGAGTTGGTGTGGGTCCCTTCGAGTCATCGCACGGTGAGATACAGGTATCAGAAGAACGAGAACCACAAACCCTTACGCCCGCATTTTCTCCCTCTTGGCCCGACTCAGGCCCACTTTCCGCAGCCACCTCCCCGCCTTCCCCTCCGTTCTCATTTTCATTCCCCGCATCGCCCCCACTTCCATTCTCCGCCCTCCGCTCCTCCCCAGAACGCCCGAGCCTGCTCCGGCTCCCCGGTCTGCTCCTATTCACCGGCCCCGCCGTCTTCACCAGCCGCACATTCAACGTCGACCTGACATAGCCATTCTCCTCCTCCCCAGCGCCCGCTTCGTGTGCCATAGCGCCATCCTGCTGGAGCGAGGTCGTGGACCGGCTGGTCTGGAGAGACGGCTGCGGCGAGGGGTACCGCGTCGAGCGCGACGTGGACGACTGCCCGTTCGGGAGGACGCGGTTGTGCACATTGAACGGGGCTGACAAGTGCACGTTGACCATTTTGATGGTAGCGTTCGATATTCATCTCACTTTAGCGCCAAAATGGCTGGAAATGTGAATGCTTACCCCTCTTTGGAGCGCACTATAGTCTGGAGACGCTCTTTCATCTTCTGGGGATCAACAACTACGACATGAGGTCGTTGCGGGGGTCTGATAGCAACTCAAAACACGTTCCCAAATATTTTGGACTCGTACCCACACGTCTACATCTCGAGCAGCGGGAATGAGATGAGTCGTCTCGTCCGGACGCTCCTATCGCACCTCCCTCGTTAGCTGAGCACCATCACACCTCGACCCACCGACACGCACTGGACTAGTGGATTTTGCGCGCAAGCAGCAGCCTAAGACAGCACTAAGAAAAGAGGACATCGAAACAGGCGCAAGAATGCTTCATAAAGCGGACCAGGCGGAGGGCAGGAGGCAGTAGCATCGATAGCGGGAAAATGACCATGGATTAATCCCGCTGCCCCCGCTACTCGGTCTGATTGAGGAAATGTTCGCAGCAAGTCTGGAGAGGACATAGACGATATAAAAACAACAATATACATTGATATGTGGCGTGGTAGCAAGTCTCCATAGCTAAGTGGTTATAGCATGCGATTGCAGCAGTGGGCATTCCTGTCCGAGATATCGCAGGGTCCCGTGTTCAAATCACGGTGGGGACTGCATTTTGTTTTCTGCTTGAACCTACATTTTTCGAGTTCATGACTTTCGTAACGGACGATGAAAACGTCATAGAAGGCCTGGCTTGCGAAGGGCGGATTTTCATAGCTTATTCTAGAGCCCTTGTGGAACGCGCGTACAGCTGGATTGCTCGGAGACTAGGTTCTGTCGACGTCCGGTATCGTAAGGCCTCGTATTTTTGCGAGTCTGACCCCAGTGTGCCCCCTTGAGTAGACGAGACTCACGTGCAGCAAATACGATTTTCTTCGTGACCCGTTAGACCCGTCGCCAGTCCCTGTGGATAGTCAGAACAGACGGGCTGGTGCGCAGGCAATATTCTGTAAATTTGAGTGCAGCACCCACGCATGGCACACCAATCCTTGTCGTGAAGTTTGATATCTCCGAGTGAACATGCTTGGAAATCGGGTCGTCACATGATGGATCGAAAAGTATACGTGTGTACGCCTGTATACACGGCAAGGACTTTCCTCACGCTGGTCTACCAGCGCGCACCATGTCTTCCTCGATGCGCCCGACCGCGTCAAATGTCGCTCGACGTGTCGTTCGTCGACAACCGCGTTGCGGGCTTTCTCAATTGTCGGGTGATCCCTCCGTACGGATAACTACCTTACCAAACAAGGTTCGCGTTGCGACAGAGTTCACGCCTGGCCATTTCTCTGCAGTTGGGCTTTATGTCGACGCAGGTTCTCGGTATGAGAGTCCTTCAACATCCGGAGTCAGCCATTTCATCGATAGGATGGCATTCAAGGTTAGGCATATTCATTGGGGGCGTGCGTTCCGCTAATCTGGATAATGCGTAGTCGACAAGAACCCGCTCTGACGAAGAGATGTCGACGGCGATTGACGCCCTTGGCGGACAAATCATGTGTTCATCATCTCGAGAAACCATCATGTACCAGTCCTCCCACTTTCCGCAGGGTACACCGCTCTCCATGTCCCTGATATCTGATACTGTGTTGAACGCCAACTTCCTGCCCGAAGAAATTGATGCACAGAGAGAGGCTGCACGGTACGAGATTCGGGAAATCAGTGCCAAACCAGAGATGATCATACCCGAGATTCTGCATGAAGTAGCTTATGGCGGTCAGACGTTGGGCAATCCGCTACTATGTCCGGAAGAACGAATAGACGTCATAAACGAAGATATGATCCGGGGCTTCATGAAGGAGTGGTATAGGCCGGAACGGATGGTCATAGCTGGTGCGGGAGTGCAGCATGAAGAGCTTTTAGAGTACGCGGAGAAGCACTTCGGGTCTCTAAAACCTTCACCGGTATCTCTACCTCAGTCATCTTCTAGACAAGGTGCACAGCAGGCAGTGCCGCCCCACCTGTTGCCATCTCCATCTTCCAACTCTTCGCTCTACAAGTCGTTAACACGCGCCGCATCGTCCTATCTTTACCCGACTCAACCGGTATCCCCAGACCGTGTTCCCCCATTGAGCCCCGCTCTCGATACTCGCGCAACGTACACGGGTGGTCATCGTTTCTTGGATGACCCATCCCAAGAATTCAACCACCTGTACCTTGCATTTGAAGGCGTCGGGATTCATGATGATGACATCTACGCTCTTGCGACTATGCAGGTCCTGCTAGGGGGTGGCGGTAGTTTCTCCGCCGGTGGTCCCGGGAAGGGCATGTACTCGCGGCTCTACACCCACATCCTGAATCACTACCCACAGATTGATCATTGCGCTTCCTTCCACCACATCTACACCGATTCATCCCTATTTGGCCTGCTTGCTTCGTTCGTACCTGCGGGTCCGAAACATCAGGGCAACCCGCCATCACAAATAATGCCGCACCTGGTGCACCAACTTAGTCTGCTGCTTTACTCACCTCTTACCAAGGGCGAGTTGAGTCGCGCGAAGAACCAGCTCAAGTCGAGCTTGGTAATGGCACTAGAGAGCCGTGCGGTCGAAGTTGAAGATCTTGGCCGTCAGGTGAGTGTCAAGAAGGTATCTTATTTCTAGCAGAGGCTAATGACAATGTCTGTAGATCTTGGTGCATAACCGCAAAGTCCCAGTGTCTGAGATGTGCGACAAAATTGACGAAGTGACACCAGAATCTCTTCGTCGTGTGGCTGCGCGTATTTTCGGGCCCGAATCTGGCAGTAAGGCCACGGTTGTCTGCATGGGTCATGAGGACGTCGGTGACTGGCGTGGCGTTCTTAAGAAGTATGGCGTCGGAGGAGCATAAGTGTTCTTAGCCCATCTGTATTACCACCATATAATACACACACCATTACATGCTCCGCATCAGAAGGAAATAGTAGCAGTAAATAAATACACAGCCATCAACTTATTTTTGTCCATCTTGAATCTCGTCTTGTAGTGAGATACACTTCGGCATCAGGTTCGTTGCCCATCCATGCACCTTGCTGAGTTGGAATAAGATTGGTGACCTGGTCGACAGCCATTAACACTGATCTTTGTAGTTTCGGAAGGGACATACGATAAATCGCTGATTCGGCGCGAATGCACCAGCTTTAGTGCCCTCTCCGAAGGCGAGATCCATTACATCCCAAACTGTGATTTGTGCCTTCCGGTACGCATCTCGTTTGTACGTTCTGGAATCTTTTGCGACGACAACCCTAAAGTTCCGGATCTTCCGTGGAGGGCATTCGAACTGCAAAGAACTAAGTATGCGGACACATCATACACTTTACCCAACTTACTGCCAGGTCCTTCTCCATCTCGTCACTCGCACCTTCGCGCAGCGCAGTGCAATTCTTGTGGATGATTCGCGACAAACATCTCATCTCAAATTTGCTCAAGCGACATAACAGGGAATTGATATCGCCGGTTTCTTCGAGATCATCATAGTAGTTCTCTATATGCACCGGAGGGTCTATCGAAGCGCTGTGAGAGTGCATCCAGACGATGAGAAACAACATCCTCACCCTCGTCTTCAGTCTTGCTTTGGCTGCACCCCGCTCTGGCCTCAAGTCGGTGCGCATATCCTTCGAGAGTGCGAATCTTCTTATCGAGGTCTTCCCGCCATTTCGCAGCCATCTCCTCTCTTCGTTTCTAAGCCGATAATGAATTGATGCCATGTAAGATGAAATTGTCATCAACTTACCACCCATTGGTCTTGGACCTTCATTTCCTCCTTTTCATCCCTCGGGACAGATTTCCGAGTCTTTCCGTCCGGTCCCTCTATAAACTCAACGTACGCCACTGGGTGTGTCTGCGGTTGGTTCAGCGAAAGCAGTGATACATAGGATAGCTGTGCGTATCACCTTTACTACTGTCAAATCCATGATGGTGACCACCCCACCGTCGGGCGTCAGTCTGCCCAATGTCGCAAACGAAGGACTATTGCAAAAGCCGAGTTTCGCATGCCAAGGCACGAGGTGGCAAGAGTTACCGGTAAGAACGAGGTGACAACGGTCATACGCTTCGAGGACTTCCGTAGGATCCTTATGGTCGGACGAAAGCTATCAAAGGTCCGATCAGAAACCAGTCACTCGCAGAAACACGGCTTGCTCACTCTGGCATTCTGAACACCTATTTTTCTCCCGACTCGAATTTTGCCCTTCCTGATCGCCCTAGTCAAAGTGCCGTCAGCCTCAGCACGCAGCTTGTACCAACCATCCGTCAGTTCCAGTTCTGGGATCGGGTCTGTCACAAGACCGTCATCGTCGGCACCACCAGAGGACCAAGTAATATTGGATACGCAAAGGACCATCGGCAAAGAGGCCGGTGTGTCCTGAGTTGCTATTAGCCTGAGTGGCGGTCGCGATCCACACTCCAGTTCTTTCTCATATCTGTCGGGAAACACCAGTCATCAATGATATCCACAATAAGCTGTCGACGTTCTGACCGGTATAGGAACTGTTCAAGAATATGGCCCCAGCACCACCTACGGGTCCTGGAATCACTCTCGGACTTGGGGTCTAGACATACCATGCCAGCCAACTTCCACAGGATCAGGCTCCAGTGGTTCTCTACCCACTCTTGGGTGGCTAGACAGCAACCCTTGGCATGCAGTTGCTCGAGCATGTTCTGCGGGCCGAGCGAAGAGCTGCTCCCGGACACATGTGATGCTCCGGGGGAAATCGAGAACTCGGTGTTGAAAGCATAGTACATGGCGGAAATTGGAGTTATCTGGTTCAGTTCAGAAATATTTCTGAGGAAATTGATTCATCAATAATTCGCGTACATGAACACATGAATACTGACATCCCCATTGCTTGCAATTCTGCCCGCGTATATGATTGTGGCACGAATCCAGAAGATAACAGTGTCTGACGGTCGGGTACGGGAGCTAGAACGGTGAATTAGTCGGAGTAGACAACTGAGGATAACAGGATACCTACTCATATCAAACCATTTGCTCTTCACGACCACCCGTGAAGATCGTCCACGTATAGGGGAGATTGGCACCTTTGGAGCTGCGAACACGGCCTTCTTAGCGATTTCTTGCTCCAGCTGCACTCTCCCAGGGTCACCGGGCCTTAGCCCAGGCTTGAAAGGTGTGACGAACTTCTTGAGCGGGGTAGACAAAGCAGTGCCCCTCCGCTGAGTGACACCGAGTGATTTTCGTGGTGCAGACAAAGCAGCAAGTGTTCCAAGCAGTGGTGCTGGTGGTGCAAGTTTGGCGGAAGGACTGGCAGGAGTAGCGAACGCCGTGCTTGCATTATTGAATGCGGCCAGAGGTTTGCGGTTGTTATTAGGATTGAGGAGAGAATTCGTATATCGGGGGATATTCGAGGAGGGATAGACCGATTTCTGAGGGTTCTTGGCGATAAGGGGTGATTTGAATGCTTTCGGTTTTGGCAACCTACTAGCACTGGTGACTGGCGGCGTTGAAAATGCAGGGACACGACAGGCGGGGAGAGAGACATCTTTCGGCGCAGCCGCCGGTTTCTGCACTGAACGACTCGGTCGTGTCGGTGTATCCAGAGGATCGTTGCCAAATTCGTTCTCAATCTCGTCCTCCTCTTCCCACTGTTTCATGCGTTCTGCAGCACGTCTCAAAG